GATACACTCAAAACATTTGTCACTTTTATGTTGTAATACAAGATCAAAGTTTTAGGTCATGATGAAGTGTTTTCAATCTCAAAGCCAATCAAAAGAAGAAAGATGTTCCAACAGCCTTCTTCAGATGAACTACTAGCAAGGGCAGTGGTTGCAGAGGTTACAGAGGATAAAAGCTGCAGTAATTGTGAGACAAGATTACTTTATAACAATATTCAATATTGTCACAAAGAAAGACCGGTTCTTTTAATCATGCTGGAGGAAAGAATAGTAAATGGCCCTGTAAACGTGGGTGTGGGAAGAAAGCAGGGGAAGAGTCATAATGTCACCTTTGTGCAGAAAAGGTCAGCTACCTAGAGAACAGCATCGTCCTTCGCTGCAGAGAGATGGTGGAATAAGCCATGACTGGCAGTGGCAGAGGAAGTCTGAGGATCCAGCCCAGCTGATCACCTGCCCTGCCACTGATCAGGTTGGAGCACAGATTGCTGCTGAGTAATGCATTTATGAGTTACCACTACAAAGCAGGAGCACTCTCGGGATGATTAGAGGAAGCTGTAATGAAATGGGCTGGAGAGAATCATCAAGGGAGTCCTGTGAGACTTGGAGAAAGAAAGGAAAAGAGAAATGCATTTAAAAATCCCAAAAAACTAACCCAGTGACCCACAAAACAGGAGCTGCATTAGCACAAACTCATGATTCACTTTGGTTACTTTCCCCATAATATTGCTTTCTTGGGTACTGTCAGCCGGGAAGGAAGTCCCTGTGCCACTACATCCTAAACTGTGGCAGGCAACTCAATGGACATGTCAACTGGAGTTCTGTGAGTATCTCCAATTAAGCACATTGGTCTGCAAAGCACTGCAAGAACTTGACTGAGAGACCCTCTCCCATCTCAGATTATTCAGGCTGCTTTGTAACTTTGTGCTTTTGATCAAAATTATGGATGAAAAATCCAATGTGTTAATTTATATACACTGGAGGGCAATAAAGGAGCATAGTTACATAAATGAAGCAATTAAAATGCCATTAAAATTAAGCCAATGTTTTCCTTTTTCCACAAGAGTTGATGGATAGCTAATTATTCTCATTTGACCCAAGATTTACTTGAAATGAAGTCCTCCTTAAACTTGTTTTCCTGCCCCTATTGTTAATGATGTCAATCAGAGCCTCCCAGAGTAGTTGCTCTGAGTGATCTGGTCTTTCCCCACCTTACTTTCACTGCCAGCTCCTTCCTCTTTTTCCTGTTTATCTGATTCTCATTTCCTATGATTAAGCACTAGATCATTACACAGAGATATGGAATATTTGTTTCCTTCTCTCTTCTCATCAAGGACTTCTGCCTAATATTTCCATTGTATCTCCTAATTAGCCTCTTCTGGGGAAAGCTTTATGCTGCTTTCCTGTTTATATTTTTCTGAATGAATATTGGTAAAACTTTTTATAGCATGTTCAAAAAAATGTCTGAAGTGTAATTTCCATCCTAGACTCTGTGAGAGGTGTGGGTATAGTCCATTTATTAAATTTTGAATGGGATGCCTCATGCTTTCCTGAACCTAATTACTCTGATAATTTTAGGGAGCTGTTTCTGGATATCCTGCCATAAGAAACAAATAAACTGAAAAAGTGGTGAAACAGAAGTCATTAGTGAACAGGACTGAAGAAAAGTCCAAGATGATTTGTTGACAAACCTGAGAACTTGTCAAAGTAGCAGAGCTTATCTTAATGGCAGCCAGAGGAGTGTGGAAAATTACCTATTTGGGGAATTTACAATGAAAAGACAAGTAGAACATACTGTTGGCTTCTTTCCTGTCAACCAAGCCCCGTTTTGCTGTGAATTTGTCAGCCCTGGGAACTACTGTGTTTCAGAGACTTCTCTGAATGTGGCAGAGTTGCCAGTCTTGGTCTGGGAGTACTTGAGGCATCATTACCCAGCTGACAGCTCTTCCCCTATACATGAACCTCATCCAGAAAATCCAACAAAGGATTTACAACCATCTCCCAATTTAGGCAAAACCTCTCCCTCAGTCAGCTAAAGATGCATTTGAAATTATGTGGCAATTGAATGGTGAGAGGAGCATTTCTGTGAGGCACAGATGCTGGTGTCATCCCCAGCCCTCACCTTCTGCATCGAGCCTGATGCCCATGGATTCACCACACTGGGTAAAAAATTTCTTCCTAACATCTAACCTAAATCTCTCCTTTTTCAGTTTAAAACCGTGGATGTTTTAAAAGGAGGTGCCATTAGACTTTTACTTGTGCTGGGCCTCAAACACACACAAGTAAATTGCCCCAAGCCTCACATGACAAAATTTCTGCAAACTGATGGCACATGGGGGAACGTGACAGCTGCAGCAGAAGGACAACACTGATCTCCTGCTTGGGAGCACCACCTGGGACAGAGAGAGGACTTCTGTCCTGGGATGTCCCATTTGATTTTATACAAAGCATTCCTAGGGGAACTCACTCTTCAGAGAAACATCTTCACTACCAAATGTCTCCCTTCACACTTTTAAATTTGCCAGTAGCTTTTAGTCTTCAGGCTTGTGTTGAGCTTTGGAGACAAAACTAAACTGAATCTCAAGTTACCTCATTTAATATAAGCCCATGTATCTTCATTTTCATGCTGGACTCCAAAGTACATTTCTGTGAGCTGCTGCTGTCACACATCAAACCTGTGCTCCAGCAGGACTTCTCCAGCAGGACTTCAGCCACTGCCATGTGACCTGGGAGAGGTGAAGGAGGAAGGCAGCCTAACAGCACACCTGGCAGCCTAAACCTCTGCCACTCACTGACTAATGTAAGGCTCACCATCATCACACATGGACTTGGCTTAACCCTGAAACAGCAAACAGGAAGTGGACAGGGCATGGAGATGTGCTAACACTGGAAAGACAGAAAGCAGCAAAAGATGCGTGGATCTCTCTTGACCTTCGGATTTGCGACAGGAAACAAGAGTCTGAAGTGGTCAAGCATTATCCCTTTCAGTTGGCAGCAGCTCTTTGAAGACCAAAGCAGCTGCAGCCAAACCACCCAGTGACACAGGATTTGTGCAGACTTGTCCCTGCTTTGGCTTCTGACCAGACATTCCTGCTTTCCCCTCCTCCCCGAAGCTTTCCAGCCACCTGCTGCCACTTTCACCTTTCTGCTGCTATATATATTCTTTTTAATCTCTCCTGAATCCTGCCTACATTTTCTGAAGGGAAGATGAAACTGGATTTTTTCCAAGGAGGCTTTTCTAAGGAAGCAAGTTCTTTGTGATGTCAGGCTATTAATCTTTTTTTAGCTTCCCTTCAGCTGTATTTAAGAGAGGGAAGTGATCTGAAAGGCTCTAAGTTTCTACATGCAAAAGATCACAGAATCATTGAATACTCAAGAGTTGGAAGGGACCCACAAGGATCACTGAATTCCAACTCCTGGGCCTGCACAGGACGGCCCTAAGAACCACACCATGTACCCAAGAATATTGTCCAATCACTTCTTGAGCTCTGCCAGGCTTGGTGCTGTGACCACTTAATACTGATGCTGAGAAGACAAATGGAGTTGGTTTATTTTTATTTCCCTTCACTGCTGGGACAACGAGACAGAAAGATATTACAGTAGGGTATTTCACTTAGATACAGCCAGGAACAAAAACCTGGCCTTGCTGCAGGGCAGTGAGAGCAGGGACTTCACTTAGATGAGACTTAAGGTCAGAGGCCTGACCAAGCATACTTTTTATGCATACATGTACACACAAAGAAATATAAAATCTGATTGCCTTCAACAGGTGTACAGGATGACTAGTTCCCTGCAGGAGCAGATGTCAATCTCATGAGAGTCAGCCTTTTGTTTCAGACAGGTACAGGCCAGCCTGCTTATCAAGCAGCAAAGCTTGAGTTGGTGAGTCAAATTCTAGCAACAGCTGCAGTTTAATTCTTGGTCTAGAACAGACAAAAAAAACAACCCCCCCATAAAACTCCCTGCACTAGCAGTTTCTCAGACACTGCCTCGAGTTGGAGCATATTTTCTTAATTCTCCTATAACTGAACTGACTGAAAGGACAGAGGCTGGCTCCATCCTATCACTACCTTTAGGAGGAAATTTCACAGTTAAAAAAAAAAATCTGATTTTGATACTTGCAGCTATTTTCTTTCCCAGACTTGCATATTATTTTAATTTTATAGACCTCCATCATGAATGTTTTTGGCAAGGTTTACTACAAGATAAGGAACAGATAACGAAGCATTTCCTAACAGTCTTAAGTTTTATAGGTAACCATTGCTAATAAAATAATGACTACTTTAAAAAGTCAAATAAAACCAATACAAGAACCATGGCCATTAGAATATTACATAAAAACACAGCAAACCAGCTTAATGCAATTATGTGTATCAGTTTTCTGTTATATCAAAGACCATATACTTTAGTACATAGCAAATAAAGATTCTGATTTTAACTTCAAATAGTCACTTTATATTTACTATAAAATATTAAGTGAGATTTTTTAAAAGCAATCCTCCAGTCCAGATGCAATCTTTAACATGTTAACTGCACAGAAAGCACAATTTTTGGGAGCAACTGTAAACCACAGAAGGAATTAATTATTTCTGATGCAAATACTTATCCATTAGAAACAGACTGGCTTCCTAATCTCCAGGTTCCTTTTCAATGCAGGGACCTTCCCTCATCTCAGTTCTTCCTGACATTTATTCCCCTGTCTTGTGCAAATATATGCTCCAGAAAGTTTCACAGGCAATTTCTAAAACCTCCTGCCTTCAGCATACCTAACAGAGATATCAAGGTGCTCACTTGTAAAGCTGCAGCAGCCTGAGTTTACAATCTCATGAAAAATTTTTTTGGTGAAAAGGTGTAAGGTCACAGCAGTGTGTCCAGCCCAGAAACTCATTCCCAGGGCTTCCTAGAGTGCTCTGTAGGGCACAAATACAATAAGCACATGGACCTTTCCATACTAATGGCACTGACTTGAAAACACTTCAGAGTTAAACTGTACATCTGTAGAGAGACTGTAATTTATTTGTAGTTAATAAAAAATATTTAAAAAGCATAGAACTTGAGCTCAGCTTCCTTTACATAACATGCATTGACAATGCAAACCATCCTTCTTCTTTTTGCTTTTCTCCCTGTAAAAGAATAAACCAGCTGAGATTAATATACAGTAAATTTCCCATAGACCTGTGTGTAAGGACTGCTGTCTGCCCTTAGCACCATGGAGGGAGTCACACCACCTACTTCAAGCCACACCTGCCTTAATAACTTCAAATTTCCCTTCTAGGGATGTATAGGTTGCTGTCAGGATAGCAAGTCCTGGACCCTAACTCTGTTCTCCTTATCAGTCCTAATTTAGGTTATTTTGGACACCAGGAAATAGGTTATTAATATGTCCTCATGGTTGCTTTCAAGCCTATAAACAGCTCTTATGACTGGTTTATCAGTCTGTACCACTGCAGATCTCCCTGTGAAAGCATCTCACCACAGGCTATCCTTTTCTTTGCACATCAGGAGCCAGAAATCTAGATTGGGGCCCTCTTTACATTTGGATTTATTCATCATTCAGTAACTGACTTATGCAACAGCTGGGTAAGAGCTTGCTTGCCTCTTGACTGTGGCTCTACCAGTACATCATAATCAGGGCCTGAGATTCTCTGGAGCCACCAGGGAAAGACTTCCAAAGGTTTCCAGTTCTAACACACAAAGATGCCACAGCACAAAAGGGTTACTTATGAACAACTCTGTGGCAGAAAATAATGAATGTCACTAGTTCTCAGGTCTCTTCTTACCAATTGTCTGCAATCCAACCTGCCACTAACTGATGGATAATAGCCTTTAGGGATATTTGAAACAGGAAAGAGCTCACCTCCCTTCATCCATCTTATGATTCTCTTTTCCCTTTTATGACAACATATTAAAATTTTCTGGCTGAAGATTTTTCAGTCTTACCTTTGGTCTTTGGCTGCCAGAAGTTAATTTGACACTTTCTGACATGGCACTTAAAGGTCTGCTAGAGTCGCCTACAGTCCTGGAAATATTCAAAATAAGATTTTAAAAGTGAAAAATGGAAGTGATTACTAGAATATTATCTCTGATCCTGAGTTAGGACCTCTCATCAGCAGTCTTCAACAATACATGTCATCTATCTTGTGTCAGATTGCACATATTTTAAATACAAACATAGGAAGTTGTGAAAAAGCTATTAGACCTTTGTCCCACTTGCAGAATTCAATGTGAGAAAGTAAGGGAAAATCCACAAAGCCAAAAAAACACATGGCAACCACTTTGTTGTGTTCAATTTCTACTGCATGGATAATTAAGACACTACAAATACAAAAGAGTAAAGAGTGAACTTTTACCTTCTTATGCTGGTCATACTGGCATGGGGAACACTGACATCCTTGGAGCTGTCCGCAGCCACTGCCATGGGAACAGACACCTCAGCTGTCCTCCTTGCATTTTCTAGGTGACAAATAATGGCTTGATTCTGATGAGAACACAGCAACATTGCGCAACATTCATTCTGTTTTACCGTTTTTTCCAGAGGCATCACAACCTCTTCCCAACTGCACAGATATACAGATCAGAAATAAAACATCAGATTAAACATCAACTTCATACTCACTTTCTGAAAATGACTGACAATGAAAGCAGAGACTCAGCAACTAGAGACAATGCTCACATATATAGAATGATTCTTCCACAGTTAAATTTTCTGTGTTTTTTGGCAATTACAGGCTTAGAGACTTCTGATCTCTCACCTTTGTTGCTTTAGGATTTTACTTACCATGCTGAATTTACATTACAACAGCCAGACAAGCATTGAAAGTGTTATGAACCGACCCAGGAGTCGCTGCATAGGCACCTGCATGCAAATACCCACACATTGCTCCCTCCTCCCCCTTCTTCCTCTCTCTAAGTCCTTCCCCCTTTATACATCCTCTGTGGTTTCACAAGGGGAAAGGACAGGTGTCTCACACAGAGCACATGTACATGGTCACATGCAGTTCTGCTTGTAATGACAATAACTCCACGAAAAGATAAAGCAGCCCTGACCTCCTGCAAAGTAATTTTTTTTTATAGTTACAGATGGCAGCTAATCTATGAATCTTGAACCACCAAGTATATTCCCTGATCTACCTCTTTACATGACTCCAGTCATTCCTTTCTATCAGCACAGGCAGTAACTCAGCAAGACAGTCTGATGGAAAGAGTACCCAAAAGACAAAAACTAAAATGGGGTTGAGAATAGGATGACCACTCTGCCGTAAGTTTTAGAGGCCTGATGTAAGTACTTCAGTCTTTTTCACCCAAGAGTCTGCACAAGGACTGATTAAAAAACACAGTGCTGACCACCAGAGATTATCACAGAATCAATTAAGTTGAAAAAGACAGAGATCATTGACTCCAACCTTTGAACAACACCTTGTCAAACAGACCAAGGCACTGTGTCAAATCTAGTCTTTCCTTAAGCACTTCCAGGGATGGTGACTTCACCACCTCCCTGTGCAGTCCATTCCAATACCTAACAATCTGTGAAGAAGTTCCAACTAATGTCCAAATGTAGCACCTGCTCTTCAGACAAGAACAAAGCAAAGAACAGGTTTAACATGAAGCACAGTACTTGCAGCAGACTAATGACTAAGAAGAAAACTTTAGCAGAGGTCTAGCTGATGTATTTTTAGCTCTCTGAAGTAAGAGGTGTTTGTACCACACAGGCATTAACAGCAAGTGTAGTTCTGACCACAACCACTGATCCAGTAAGACAGGGACTCGCCAAAGGAGAAAAACACTGTCTGACTAGTTTTTGTTTCTCCTGAAGCTAGGTACTTACCAGTGTAATTCAGGGATGGGGTTGGAACAGGAGACAGCATTGGAGGGGCCATGTCAGCAGCAGCTGATTTCTGCTGGTCTATCAACTGCAACAGTTTATCCCGTGCTTCTGTACTCTGGCGATTCAGCTCTGCTATTCTTTCCTCCAAGCTCCTTGATACCATGAGATGACTCTACTTGGATAATGGGATAATTACTTCCAATGAAACAGTTACAATTTTTACCCTAAAGGAGGGCATACAATATATTTCAAGTAGTTCTATGCATTTTGTTTTCAAACTGAAAGGGAATATAATTATGTAGCACTTCTGTGAAAAATCTGATTTTGGCCCTTTTACTGTCCTGTATCTAAGTCCTCAACTAATTATTACAATATTTTATACTGGTCTTCCCTCAAGTAGGAAAAATACAGCTGTTGTCCATATAATATGAGAAAGAAAAAAACTGCAAGCCCCCACCCAAAACCACAAAAAAAAAAAAAAACCCAAAAAACAACACCCCCCCAAAAAAAAAAAAAAAACCACCAAAAAACCAAACCACCAAACCCAAACCAAACCAAATAAAAACCCAGCAATTAACTACATTTAAGAATATACTTAATCAGAGAGACACATATTCAGGAGGATGTGGGGAAGCAAAAGCAGGTTTCTAGCAGAAGAGTCTTGGAACTCATCTTAAAGCCAGGTTTTGATTTCTTTGACCTCTTCCCCTCCCTGTCACTAACTGCTTCTCAAAAACAACAAAAACAACACTTACTAAGTGTTTGCATCACCTTGTACAACCAAATGACTAAATACTACACAGCATAACCCAAAGTGGACAGTGACAACACTCTCAGCCTACATTTAAATGAAGAAATTAAAAATCTTCAGGATCCCTAATTTAACCAGCCACTGTGACAGAACAAAAGACAATAGCAAGGACAGGGATGTTTTTGTGATGTTAACTTCACCCACTGGGATCCTATTGAGTAACTGCTTAGTTGCAGGTTAATTTTTTTCCACTTAAACTGAAGCCTTCAAGGTCTCTCTTTCCCAAAATCTTTGGGATTTTCACAGAGGAGGACTGACAAGACAGACCCAACAAGCACACACACTATGATCAAACATTTGCAGAAGATGTACTTGCACTAACTTGAATCTCATCTGCTTTTGGGTCAGAGTAGCAGAGATGTATGACACGGCTCCAAATATGCATTTTACAAGCTTGACAAGAAGCTGTGGGTTGGTACAGTGTTTTCACTGCTAATAGTATCCAAACTGCAAGAGCTTGGATCACATTGCAACACCACCTCTTTTGCAGCACAGCCTTACAACCTTCTTCAGAACCCATGTACAACACAGGCCCGATATGAGAAACTACTGCTGATTTGCTTATGGACTACTAATAAAATAACAAGTTTCCAAGCAAACAAATAGTAAGTGACAACATGAAAGACAAAAAAGCACCAGTAAACTATGGGAAAGCAGATCAGCAGAAAGGAGATCCAGCCTTCCTTTCCTGTTAAATTCTGACCTGTCCTTGTGAAGAGTCTGGACTAGGATCTGCATTTTGTGTCAGGTCTGGCTGATGCAGACAATCACTTCTGTCTCCTCTGAATTTCCTCAGTTGAGCTTTAATTAGAGCATTCTGCCGTGTGAGCTCAGCTATCTGTCCCAGCAGATCACCATTTCGAAGGAACTCTTCAGCTGTGCTGTTTTTTCCAGCATCACCTGGGCAGGACAGATTGGTTTTCTCATGGGAACTCTCCAAGTCTTTGTCTGCAGAAGGAACTTGTTGCTTTCGAGAGATGGGGCAGTTCTCCTCAGTTGTGCTCTGTGTCCTCAGGGAGGAATGTAAGCTCCTTTCCTTGCATGGCTCTCTTTCAGTAGACTGGGAAATGGCTGCAAACACTACAAACACAAAATAAAGGAACAGTAAGGACAGTGACATGAGATCCTCACTGAGGAGACAACAGTGACTTTATTGCATCAGGTTACTAATAATCAAGCAGGAATTTGAATTGTAACATCTGGCCTGAATGATGTTATAGTACTGATTAAAATCACTCTATGCAATATCCTGCTGTAAGAACTCACTAGGTGAGTATTTCCTATTGCAAACAGTCTTACATTTAAATGATTTAGTTTGAGATTGACAAAGTAGTCACTAAGAAGATAAATTGTTTTAAATTTCTTAGCTGACAGATCAAATAATATTTCTTAGTAGTCCTCCATCTTCCAGAATTCAGTTACCTTACCTAATAAACTGTTTTTGTTTCAGTTCTGATATTTACATTGGGTTATTAACAAAACTTTTAGGATACTGAAACAAAAAAATACAAGACTTTTGGCATGATAATAAACTAACTACTTAGCCCCTAAAGAGGAAGCACTGTGGCCACCAAAAGTAGTCAGGTATTTTTTTGCGGTCATCATCAGCAAAGAGATGACACACCACAGAGACACGACTACAGTGACAGCAGTGTCTGCTGCTACATGCTAAGTCCAACTTGACTTTTGTGACCAAAACCAGATTTTCTATGCTTCATACACCAAATGGCCCATTCCTGCACAAGCTTTAGTTTTTGCCTCTTGAGCAGAGATGAACACTTAAAAAATTACACTCAAGTGTGTTTTATGAAGCTATGAGCATAAAAAAACCATTCATTGAGTTTAACATTTGTTGGACCACTTAGCATCAGTCTTAAGAGAGGAACAATATATTTTAGAGAAATCTTGGAATACAGTTCTGCATTGCTGTTTCAAATGACAGAAGACATCTGACAGTTCTCAATGGAACTGAAACCAGACATTGCCCTTTGTAGATCAAGACCTTTAGTTCATTTCCTCCAGACTGTTTATGTACCTCCTCACAGCACAGCAGCCCACCAAGTGGCTGAACCAGATAAAAACTTCCAATTGCCCAGCCAACTCCTCAAAAATCAAAAGGACTTTAGGTTATTTTTCTGACTTGGAAAAGGCTTACAAAACAACAGCTGAAAGGGAGGAAAAAGGAGGAAAACACCAAAACCCATTCCTGTACCCTCCTTCTTGTCAGCCACCATCAATCTGGCTGTGGATGTAATTATCTGCCTCTCAACAAGGGTGTTATCCAGGGCCCTGGTATGTCCAGTGGGATGCATGTGTGTACAGTGACAACTGCAGCAGCAAACAGCTCAGTTTTAGAGCCACAGTGTGCTTCCTTCTGCTCACTTCAGTAAGGATAAATGAGAAACACCTTCCCTAATCACCCTGATGAACTTTCTTCCTCCCATGAAACAGAAATGAGCTATGGAGACTGAGACAAGACTGAGCTACCTGGTTATCTAGCAACACAATTTCACCCAAAATTTCATCAACCATTTCCTGTGTATTGAATGGGAACCTGGCTCCCACAGCTTCCAAAAACCCCTTTGTTGGGAAGATTGGCTCAAAGTCACAGCACAGCCTACAGATATCCTGGTGTGTCTGCAACATTGCAGAAACAGAAGTTCCAGGCTTCAGTGGTCCCACCATTAAAGGTGATGGAGGCTGGATTACACCATCAGCAGATGGAAATCTGTAACTATGTGCTACAGGTCATCAACAAAGAGCTTCAGCAATCACACAGATATAATAATCAAAATGAGTACAGAATAAAAATGCCAGTCTGAATTGCCACTGGCAGGACTGCTGCCAGCAGAAGGAAAACAGGAAGTGTAAAGGCTGTCTAGCAACAGGCATAGCAACAAAGGAAATGCATATCTGGGTGCAGCAGTAGGATATTCCAGCTATAGGGCCCATATGCCTAGGCATACAGATTAAAAATTTTCCACGGAAAATGCATCTTCACAGGTAGTGTGAGATTGAAACAGTAACACACAACACAGACTCCTAACCCTACTGCAGTCAGAGAGATCTCACCATTCTGGAGGGAAGACAATTCCTGACTGCTTTTCTGCTGTGGTGGGGACAACAGCACAGCTGGCTGGAAGATGTGAGCTGGGAAGCTTCTACCAGGTCTCATATCACTTGAGGCACCTGGCCCTGGGTGAAACGTGAAAGGAAGTTCTTCCTGTGGAAATTTCAGCATATTTTCCCTATTGCCTGCTTCAGGCCTGGGCTCAGAGTAGGTCAAATCAGGTTTTTCTAAAGAAAAAGACAAAGCAGGCATAAAAGTTAAACAAATGAACAAAACAAACCAACCAAACAAAAAAAAAAGAACAAAAACTACTTATAGTGAAATAGCAGTATAGGGAAAAATATCAATAACAACTCCTATGTTCAGACACCTGAAAAGAAAGACAAGAGTAGAATATGTTCTACACCTTTCTTCTGATGTCCAGGTACAGAAGTCTTTCACTCAAGCAAATTATAAATCTTTACTGGCCATAAGAGCAAGAACAACTCTTACACATAGCCTCACAATTTCAGGACAATAGCATGAGATCTGTTAGTAGCTCATGCACAAGACTTACAGATACATGACTTGAACAGGTATCTGAGCTGCATTTGGCAACATAGTCTTGAGAAAATCAGACTTATTTACTTGTCCTAATCCCCCATATTGTAAATTTGATGGCAACAATGCTGTTAGAAAACAATTCAAGGCTTTCTTGAGCTCTGCTCATCTTAACTATCATTTAATTCAAATGAGACGTCTCTTCAGTGAAAAAAAAATTGTTTTTCCTTTAACTAGGAAAGTAAGGAAAAGATTTGAAAATTCTAGTGCTGCAGAATTGATGAATGTGAAGGTTTTGATGTTAGGTTGGGGTTTTTTTTGAGGTGGGCTTTTCTGACTGTTTGGATTTTACATTTTGGGGGTAGTTTCCTTTTGTTTGCTTTTACATGGCCTGGATCTGGTAAAAAGGATCTGGTATATGCCTTCTTCCGAAGAAGAAAATCCTTCCAGGAAGAAAGCTTTTAGCTACACAAAAATTCCCAAAACCAACATTTAACAACATAATACAAGTAACTCTGAGAAATTTTGGGATTCACAAGAAGTTACTGACCTTGGGAGCAAAAGCAATGCATTTAAATAACTGACCAGGAAAGACAGCTGGGAGGAAACTCAGTGGTGAAAGGTGATTAACAATCCACGGTGAATCCTGTTTGGCTAGTTTGGCCACCCATCTACTGGCTCAGCTTAGCCATCACTCAGCTGATCACTCCGCTCTCACGCAGAGCCACAAACACCAAGTGACACCTCTCTGACTGGTTGGCTCCGCGCCTCAGCTGCTGCTGTTCCGGCCAGCAGCGACCTCCAGTGTCCTATGCAAGAACCAATCTCAGACTGTCAGGCTGCTCAGCAACAGGAAGCTGAGATCCTGATTCTGTTGGGTTTGACTTCTTTGAGTTTCTGGGGTTCTTTTAGGAGCCTCAGAATGAAACTGACTTTGGATGTCACCTTAATGGGGGAAAGCTACTCTCCCCCTCCTTTGCTTGTGCTCACAGCAGAACCTATGGCCTGTGAATTTACAGAAGCGACATTCACGCTCTTTCAAGGGGAACTTGCAAAAGCAGACATCTATTAAATACCAGATTTTCCATAGGGATAAACTAAAAACTCCTCTTTCCTCCTTCACACATTCATTGTACGCACCTTGGCTGTTTGCTGGGCCTCTGCTTGCAATTCCAAAATGTTTTGGACTTTGTTCTCTTTCAGGTTCTTCCAAAGGGAGGCCTTTAAATGCTTGTGTGAGACACATCAGCTTTTGATCTGTTACTGTCATGTACTGCTGAAGTTTCTTCTAAAGGAGGAAAAAAAACCCATATACAGAATTACAGGAATTTGTGTTCTACCAAAATAAATTAGAAAATTATATACTACAAGAAGTCCTGATAAGAAGTTTGGCCTCTTAATATTACTGCATGATTCTGTAGGATTCCAGTGAGGATTAAATATCATTGTCTCCATGTTTCTCATTTAGAAATCATTTGTTTTGCCTTTTCTTACTCATTACATTACTTCCTCTCTGAGATTTCTTAACTGCATCATTCCCAAAAGTAGTCACTGATCAAATCTACCTCCACTGGAAACTAAAAAAAGGAAAATGTAGTATTACATCTACTCATTGCTCCAGTAGCGTTAACAGTATAGAAGTGTGAAAGAAAATGCCTAAACTTTTAGATGGATAAAGTAAAGGTCAGTTTCACAGAATCAGCACTTTCTCAGGCTTTGAAGTTAAATAAAGATAAACAAACAACTCTCCAAACATTTCATACCCATACCTGCTACTGTAATTCTTGGGCTCCACACTCAATTTTAGCACTTTCTTTCTGTTTATGATTAAAATCTCCAGAACACGAGACAATGCATCTTAGCCCATCTTTGCAACAGAACTCAGAATTCTAATACGTAATCTGCTGATTGGTAAGAAGCAAGGGGGGCTCAGTACCTGCATAGTAATGTTTTCTTCCCTTACTTGAAGAACTTCAGCAGTCAGTGCATCAATCAGTTCTCTATGCTCATTCAACATCTCCTCCTGCTGCTGCCTCATCATCTCTTTCTCATGCAGCTGCATTTCAGCCTAAAAATAGAGAAAAAATTGAAAACTTACTATAAAGCAATACAGACTCATATTTGAAAACAGGAATGAGTCATTATGTCATCATAACATAACCGCTCCTCCCACTACTGCTGAACTTCATTACTTTTATGACAAAATCAAATTGTCTGGCCTTGAGAACTGTCAGAGAGGCTTAAGTGTTTGTCTTTGATCCTCCAGGACACTGTAGGGAATCCCAGACATCCTTTTTCTTCTGCCTTTACAGCTTTTACAGGATATGACTAAAAGCATTTTCTCTCTGCACAGATATAGCTTCTTAAGTCACTGAATGTTCATGCAGGAATCAAATAATTCCAGGTGTGCTGATGCTTGTCAGTTTCCCCTGCTACTTGTGCCTAATCTTTAGTTTCCCTAATTCATTAATGAAGAAAAATTTGACTAAGTAAAGGAGAACATTCTTGCTTTCTAATGCTTTCCATCAGAGGGGAAAAGTTCTAGAGGGTTTCAAAGTATGATAACCAAACACCTCTGCATCCACATGAAATGAATGAAAAAATGAATATTTCTAGATTAACTCACAGATACTGCCACTAAACACAAAGGCAGGCAGATACACCTCCCTTAAATATATGAGAGGCAAACCATCCATTTTCTGTTTCCAGCTGGAGAGAACAGGTTTTTTGGTATTGATCCAAGTGAAGCATGCTGGCTCAGAAAATGGATAAAAAAACCTGTACGTGGTCCTGTACAGCACAAAAGAAGCACTTCTACCCTGGCAGCAGCAATGAAGCTTCTGATACCTAAGATCATCTGAATGAGCTACTGTATCTACTAATCCTACACAGCACTAACCTAGTCTTGGAGGAGAAGCTTCCCAGCAGCTCTGTCTTACATTTAAGTATAGGGAAACCATCAGGGTAACATCTGTTCCTATCCCCAGGTAGGATTTAGGTCTGGTGTACACTGAAAGAATATTTTCATTCCAGCCCACTGCCAGGTGTGGCTCTAATCACATGAGCTTGAACACTGCACCAGAACATGCAGCAGACAGGGAGAACAGAGCAGCACAGATTCAGGGAATATGCTCATACTCTTTTTGTCATGTGGGTCTGGCAAAGAAACAGCTTTCTTAGCAGAATGAGGGTCAGGAGGGAATGATTAATTCTAGCACTTGGAAGGTGATCTAAAAATTAGTTTAGAAACCAAGTCATATTTATCCATTTCCCTTTAAGAATTTCATATGCTTTTGCAAACATTTCAGAAGTTTCTTTTTTTCTAGCCTCTTCTATAGTCATTATTTCCTTCTTATAGATGTTGGTTTGCTCATCATTTAATAAAAACACTTTCATGGAAGATTCCTGAATTCAAGTTTCTCTTCCTACTTTTTGGATAATTTTTTGAGAATAAATTAGGCAACATCCTTTATTGCAATCCTTCTGATTTTCTGCAGCAAAACTGGAAGGGGAGGAAGAGAACCTCTCTAAAAGCTTTGAAACCTCATGAAGACTGGCTAACTGACTGTTTAACTAAAATCAGGGCCTTTCTAAATATGCCCTGCAAAGTCATGCTCTTAAAAGCACTGCCAGTTATAATTCAGGCATTGGACGTCTGCTAACTCTGTTGGCTAGGCAAGACAGATGGTGCACACAAGCGCTTGGTCTGTGTCTGGCATCACAGGGATCAGGTTTTATAAAACACTCAAGACAAGCTGGGCTTCTTCCCAGCAAATTCTCAAATTATACCTATAATTAAACCTCCCTGAAAAGGGAGAAAAGTCAGTTTAAAATATGAATGCAGTATCTATCCCAAGCAAGCTAATTAACCACATTATGCAGCTTGAGTGACTTTGTAATATTGCTTACTTAAGAATTTAGGTAGTAAATTTGTGTGTGTGGCAGACAATTATGCAAAAAATCACTTCTGGAAGGATGGAATAGTAACAAGAAAAATAATGAGAATAGCTTTGGAAGATGTCTGAGGCTCAGGAATAACTCATTTTTGTAGAAAAATTAAAGACAATCTAAATAGGATTGTAACTGCAATTACATTTATAAAACAAACTGAATGCTATTAAATTGATGTATTCCTAATAAACAGAAAACATTGTACTGAAATGCTAAGATCCTTCCTTATAACTGAAAAAGAACCAAATTTAATTCCCTTACAATTTTAACAAAAACCAAGCATTATTAACTTGTTTTAAAACACAAGACTTTCTCAGCTGACGTCCATCTTCTGATGGCAGTTGCTTTTCACTCTTGGATTAATTATTTACTATTTGCTTCCAGGATTTAATCAAAGTAAATTCTTCCATACAGATTAAATACAGTGTAATGCAAGGATTAAGTTATTATATATCTGGTAAGGAAAAACAATTTTAAAATAAGATGGGTTTCAATTATTATACCCTTTGAAAAGGAACTAAAATTAGACAGTTCCACATTCATTAGAGATCTATTACCTTTGCTATGAAATAGAGCATTAGCATTTAGATAATATATTCTGCTGCATCCATTAAGAGTGCAGGAACTGTCATAATCTGGTTTAAAATGTCAAATAGACCAAATGATCTGTGAGGCACTGTTGCCTCTTGACAGCTCTGGGACACAGATGAACTAGAACACTTTTGTTTTTCCTTTTCTTTAAAAAAAAAAAAAAAAAAAAAGCTTCTACATGGCACAAAGGTGATCTTTATGCAATTCCATTAATTCCCAGCTGTGCATTGTTACAGTGAGCACTTCAGGTCATTCCTGCTTAAGGTAAAGTTTCTGGATAGTAAAAGAGGACTAAGGAATCCTGAAGGAAAATAGGGGATTTGGGTCCACTGCTCTGGTGACAACAGCATCACCTTTGGGAGGCAAAGGAAGAAAATAAATTTGCAAAAAATGCTGTAGTTATTACCCTGCTCAAGTCTGAGTATATGTAAATTATTTCAATTTCAATTATTTCAATTAAAATTATTTCAATTGGTATTTTCTGCCCTTAGACACTGAGAGACTTTCACTGCGGTCAACTCCTCCATCTTCACTAGGGAAACCAATTCCTAAAAACCAGTTCCTGACAAACCAAAAGTTTTAACTCCTAATTGCATGCAAACCTAGTAATAAGCAATGATAATCAGAGTTCAATGTAAAATGCTTGGAAGCCAGAAAAAACCAGTTATTTTACATCTGTAAGATAACTTTACACTCTTTTTCATTCAGTCTCCAGGGGCAGTTCTAAGTCTCTCACCTCCTTGAGGTAGCGCATCAAGCGACAGAGAGCGTTCACCAGTGACAGAGTAAACCCAGACAGGCCTTCACTCCTCTCTTTTTTTGGGACCTCACGACCTGTACATCGCTCATATTCCTCCAGTTCATGCTCTACTTCCTGGATCATGTGGCTGAGAACATCTAGGCTGGGTTTGTTGTCCCTCTGAAGGTCAACCTGGATTAAATTAGCTGGAGAATCACCTCTCTTCTGTCTTGCAGAGTCCTGTGCAGCTTGCTTTCTTTTCACTGAAGGAGAAGAAAACGGGGTCATTGGAATTTCAACTTGTATACAGATCTTCGCAGTACCAATGAAATTGCATTGTTTATTGAAGTAAATCAAAGGAAATGCCCTCTCTTGCCATAAGATGAAACAGACCATCAAAGCATGATCCCCAGTTATTTCAGCTACTTTCAGATCCTAAAAACCACATTTTTTGCTGCCACAGTAGTATCTCTCAAGCACAACTGTTTGGTGCTTTCATCTTGGATACACCTGTTCGTACTTTTCTCCTTTCCAGTTAAATGCATGGAAATAGTTTGCTAATGAAAAACATCAGCTGCTTTCTCATACTCAGTAAGCAACGCTCCTTTCATGGTACAGCTTGCAACTGATGCCAGTCCCCTCATACAAACACATAGAATATGGAGACTGAAATGCATCCTTAATCTGCGCAGCACAGAACACAAATCTGGATCAGAACTAAAGAAGTCCTGCACAGGAGAGGACTCCATGGGCAGCAAGGTAATGGGCAGCACCAAAGGGCCATTTTTATAGTTCCCAAATTCCCATGGATTCGGCTTTGCCAATGAACGTGCAGAATAGAGGGAAAATACATTAGACAAGGAGCTGTGGAACATCCAGCCTGAGATATGCTCAAGACTCAAGGACCCCCCCATCAAACTTTGGTATTAGCCCTGCAATGACTCCCAAAAATCCATTCCAACTCACATTCTCTTACAACATTAAGGACCTTGGACAAAGGGTATTTTATTTTTCAAAGTACTTAACTCTTTGCTGCAATTTGCTTTTGTTTCCTTGAGTCTGGGTTCAGCACTTGTCTCACAGTGTCAATGGAGTCTACAGACTCTTCTTCATCTTCATTCCGGAGTCTTGAATGGGTTCTCTTGATTACACTGGTAGCATTGAGGGCTGATTTAAACACAAAACAAAGAAAAAAAAGCACATGTGAAATATTTGAGGCATGTCCTTAACAGCAGTTTGTTCTGGAGTAATTTTGATAAGAAATGGCTTTTTAGTATGAAAATACATCTGAGCCAAATTAGCATACACTTCTGTCTTAGACCCCCACCCAGGAAAGGAACTCCAGATAGGATCCTATGAACAGCCCAACAGCCTTGCTGTGATTTGGCAAACCCAACCTGACGGATCAAATGAAGGGGAAACAGTTGCTGGAGTTCGAGGCACGTTTGGTTCCTGTGATAAGGTGGTTTTTCTCACATCCTTTTCAACCCACAAAGGAGAATTCACCAAGGAATTTTCTTTTCTCAACAACCGAAGTAGCCTACATCGAAAACAAGAGTAACAGTGAACTGTAACAGGACAATGGCATGATTCCAGATTATCTGTCTTGACAGAGCTCCTAAAATTATCTGCAATTGCTCAGGTGAGCTCCCTAATCACTTTCATTCCCAGCCTCAATGTTACACCAGGCCCTTCCCTGGAATTCTGAGATCAGGAAAGGAGGGCAAGGGGAAACAGAAGAACTTAACTATACCATTCAACATGCTTTTAACTCCACCTGTTTCCAGTGTCAAGGAGGTGGACACCTGTATTTGTACTGACCTGTCAGAATTGATGCTGGATTTGAAACCCAAAACATTATGTTGTCCATCTTCTGATAATGCTTCCTCCTCCTCTTCATTAAGAGCCTTCTCAAGAGACAACAAAGAAAACAAACCAGAATTCAGAAGAAGTTAAAGACCAATTTAATGGAATTGTTTCAAGAAAAAAAAATAAAAGCATTTGTTTTAGTCTCACCACCAAAACATACTTAAAATAAAAATACCACACAGAAAAAAAACCCAAATCCACACCCCTTTGTAGGAAGTTCTGGGGGACTTTAGTATCTAAGAAACACTGATACTGACAATTGTCTCAAAATAACACAGCAAGTGACTAACTAAATAACCAATATTTTCCTCATATGATTTATATTAAATATGAAAACGCATGCAAACTAGAGGATAAAATAAAAGCTGTTAAGGACATACCAAAACAGAAATATAGCAGGCAAAATACAGAAAAGCAACCCGAATCCATACCACTTGTAACATTTCAGTCATTTGACACTACAAGCTAAACAACTTCATTGTGAGACCTGCAAAATTACATTTATAGCCTGTGTGTAAAATGCAACCAGAACAAAATACAATCCTATGTACTACTACAATTACAGCTAAATACAAACAATCAAATTTGGAATTAGGGTTCCTCAAACTACCAGGTTTCTGCGCTGCTGAGCAGGTTTCACCAGATAGCCTTTAACTGTGATTTTTGTAAGCACATAAGAACTCACAGAATCTTGGCACACAATCAATATGTGTTTCTTTTAAAAATTTCAGCTTATCCTGAGGCCTGCATCTAGTGGCACAGCTTACAAAGGTACGCTCCTCATTAAAAAAATGGAAAAACAAATGTCACACCAAAATACCTAACATAGAAGTACCACAACTCAGATTACAGATATTTCTGAAAGATAGTAGGAAATGGAAGTAGAGGGCCATGGGAATATGACACCATCACTTTGGCTCCCAACAGCCTGTTTGGTCTTCATCAGAGGGAAGTTTTCTGGGAGCACCTGCTCTCAAACCCCAGTGAGCATTCCTGGTACAATATGTTATTAAAAGAAAACACAGCACAAAGGCAAACTAAATTAAATTTTAGACAATTAAAAAATTGTTTACAACAAATCTGAATAAAATAATGCAAAATATTAAAAGTTAAACTTGTAGGAGTCATCAAGGCCATGGAGTGAATTGGGATACAAATGGCTGTGTCCCCATATAGGCAGACATAACTGGTAAATCAGAGACATATTCTGAAATGTGGCAATTAGTTAAGTGACACCAAAGTTCTTCTCTTAGACTGTAATCACACTGTACTCTGAGAATTCCAGAATTTAAAAGGGAGGGCATGCTAATGTGAGAGAGCTTCTACACACAATGATGTTTGTTTCTCATATTTGAGAGTTAAACCAAAAAATCATGATTCCCACAAGTCTCACAAAAGAAACTCACCTCTGTTTAATCTTGTCTTCTATGAATGTTATCAACAAAAACCAATTAAGTTCTGCTTGGAAATTCTTATCTTTGAATAGTCTAATTTTGTGCAAACAAAAAAGCCACAGGATTTGTATGCATGGAACAAAACATACATTACCTGGGAATCCATGACAGATTCACTAAGGATGGAAAGCTGACTGGGAGGATGACTTTTTTGTACAATGGGTCCTTGAGATGGTTCTAGGTCACAGTTAGGAGCCATTGTTACATTAGGAAAACCTAGAGGAATTAAACAACACAGGGAAGAACACAGAGGGCTTGGTCTGTACTTATGCTGCAGGACTTCACTGAAAATCAAGCTCCTGTACTTCACAAAAAAGTGGTCACAGGGATGTCACTTTAAACAACAACCAAAGACTGACCATAGGGTTAATTTAATACGCTGGGCCACATGCCCAGCTTTTATCCTTCCCACCTGCATAAATTCACTTATGCAGAAGCAGCTTGCAGGATCAAAATCATCAGGAACAAAGAGAATGGCAGCCTACAGAAAAAATCCCTAGGTTTAAGATTTCATATACAAATAGCCAATCCTGCCTTCCAGCAGCACAAGGATCCACAAGCCAAATTAAGAAAAGGAAAAGCTGATATTGCTGATAAATCTTCAACCATATCCAAGAGTAAAGAGTGAGCTCATGCAGCAATGAGAAACAGAACTATTGCAGCAGCTCAAACTGCAGCTCTGCACAGGCCAGTAGCTTGGCTGTGAAATGGTGAGCTTGGAGGTGTTTCAGAGCACGTGTTACGAAATTCCACAGTGGACCAATAGAGTGGAATAACCAGCCATCAGTCACTCTCCCCTGCCATGGGAGGTGATAGCTTCACCTGTATTCCATCCAACATGAACAGGATCAATCACACCACGTTAGACAATGAGATGAAAGCAGTTAAAAGAACACTTTGCAAAGCAAGACTATTCAGGGAAAGCAAGGAGATCATCTTAAATGGGCTACCACATATAGATGAGATGTTCTACCTGTTCGTGTGCGAGGAGCATCCTCAAGCAAGTCTTTTGCCACAGCCATTACCTGACCAGATCGTTCCAATACATCTTGGAAATGGTACTGATCAGACAGAATCTGAAAGCACAGTGCATAAGGAAACTTTACACTGAGCAGACTGATTACTTCCTTTTTTTCCCCCCAGTATTGTTCCTCTAAACAGTTACCAAGAGAACAGCCAACAAGAGAACGTTTGCAAAGTTGGTATTGTGCAATTAGATCCTATATAAGATAGATCAGAACACCATACTTCATTTAGAGTAACTAGAATTCATACTGTTTTTCTGAAAAATTAAAGTTATTACTTCTGAGGTCCTCATCAGCACTGACTCTCTTTAGAACAAATCCTTTCACTCCCCCTTCTCCTTCCAGCCTGACACAAGAAGCTGGGTATTTACGACATGCTCATCAAAAAAAAAGGTCATATATAGCAATTAAAAAAAAAAAACTCAAATCATTTGATCTCAATGTTAAGTCATAGAACACTTACCTACATCTGACACCCACAACATGAACTATTTGATATTCAAATCAATTCAAGCAGACTTGTTTCACTCAGTCTTGCCTCCTGAAAACCCTACCGAAAACTTAAGCCACATACCACCAGAAGTTCCAACAGAGGTAAACACAGCTAACTACATCTGGCATCAGAAGATATTTTGGGAATCTCCAGAAGATACAGCTTCTGTACTCAAAATTCTCTCTCCCAAAGTCTCTCCCTAGTATTTGAAGTCCATCACAACAGGTTCCTCCTAAGGAAGGATGTCTTGGAGTGCAAAGCAAGAAGCATCCAGTTACCACGAGCCAAATGGAGCTGACTGGGGATGGGGCTTTGTGAGCAGAGCACAGTTTAAAGCTCCTCACTGATGCCTGGCTTCATTCAAAAGCTGGAAATCAAAAACTAGTAAAATTATATCCCACAACCTGGAGAGAAAGTAGATATTCTTAAAAACTTGAGAGGAGGTATGTAAGTGACCTCCTTCATCATGGTTCATCAAACTGATACAGAGACTGTGAGTACTTCAAAGACCTCACAGAAAAGGCCCATGTATGCCCTCCTACTCAAAATTTGAAAACTGACTGACAATTTTTGCTCCTCCAGGAATCATAAGAAACTGTTTTGAAATGGTTTCACAGTACTCTATGCTGTTATCTCCACAGAGCTCTTTTCAATGTCCATTGGTAACTTTGCTGGCTTACACTTAGCCTCATACAAAAAATTCTAGGCAGTGTCATTTCACTTGTTCCTCCTCAATACCCTATTTTACTACATGCTTTGTTATGTCAAAGTAATCCTACATATCTGAGTTTCATGTTTTTCTAGTCTTTTGAGCTTGCAATGCAGTAAATTAGACTTCTCATAATAATTCTCATAGCAAGTCAGTGAATATTCATCTTTCAAACACTTCACAGATATAATTTTTCAGACCACTGTTCAATTTCCACATCTGATACAAGCTAAATCTAGTCTTTCCATCTGATATCAAAACAATGCAGGTTTTTAGATAAAGTTATTATACCAGATGGGCAAAAGAAAAAAAATTATGGAAGGGAAAAAAGGAAAAAAGTTTATATGACTGATTTCCTGAAGATAATTAAAATTAGAGTGATGTGTGTAATCAGACAAAAACTATCCTGATTAGTTTGTTTTTACCCTCCTCACTAGATCTTTTTTGGCATCAGCAGGTTCCTAAGCTCTACCCTCCTGTTGAATACATCATGAACATTTTAGATCATTGCTCCCAAGGTAGATTAGCTCACATTTGCTTGTGATGAGAAGAAGTGGTATCATCTTGTAACCCCTTTAGGCCCATTTACATGCCCTGGACAAATTCACTGAGCAGTGTACTCTGTCCCAGTTTAGTATCACCTACAAATTTCATTAAAAATCACCTTCCCTCATGTTTCAGACTGGTATCAAAGCAAATAAACTGGACTTATCCTAAAATCTCTCCACTACAGTAATCCATTTACTTCTACTCTTTGGTGCAATGCACTAACATTATTTCAAAAATAAGTTCCTGCAGGACCAATCTGTGTGGTACCTACAAATTCACAGTCCTAAGTTTCAGAGTAAACTCTATCTTTTCATTCAGATTTTTAGGCAGATGAATCCCCAAAATATTAAAATTTTGCTTATCTATTTTGTAACTCTTTTGTAATATCTGTCTGTTCAACACACAACTACAGAAGAAACAACAATAATAGCAGCACCTTCTCAGCTTTTGTCTCCAAGTCTTTTGCAGTTGAGCAGGATTCAAGAGACTTAGAAAGTTACACTCACAGCACTAAAAGATCACCAAGGTAACAGACAAGGAAACAATTCTCAGTTGTTGTGCTCTGCTGCGAGACACAGTCTCCACGGTTACTCTGAACAACAGGACCTGGCAATCAACAAGATTTAAGTTAGGGAGAGGTGAAAACAGTAACTCTTCCCTTTTTATTTTGTTATTCTGTTTTGGTTTTGTCTCTGTGTTTCTATCTGTTTCACCTTCCTTGGCATAATTTCCTTTTGTCTTCCTTTTCACTGATTCAGAAGTAAACACAAAGTAAACTGAATAAAATAACCTCTTAACTATAAAGGGGAAAACCACTCAGGAGGAGGTGAGATTTCTACATTCTCATTAGAAACAGCAACAAATATAGAAGACTATTTCCTAAACCTGAGTTTCACATCTGCAAAAGAATGAAGTCACATAATAGGTAGCCCAGCCAAATATCAGAAAATATGGTCTAATCTACCTTTTGTAACACATAACTTATTTCTGCATGGAAATATTATTGAAACTAGGCTGCATTAGGGAAAGTCATGTAGAGGTTCACAGTGTTTTTTGAATACTGTGCTGAAATATACTTGGCAGAAAAGTACCAAAGTAACAAAAGTCCAAGTCTGAGGCTTAATTAGCAAAAAATATCCATAATACAAAAATTCTACTGTGATTGCAGAGAAACAGGGTTCAAATAGAAAACTAGGTGGTGATCTTCAATTCTAAGTACTTCCATTTGTTTGTCTATGCTTGAATGTTCTCAGAGATCAGAAAGTGACTTCTGAAAAACCACAAAAGACAAAACAATGAAGATTGTGATGGTTAGTCCACTGCACATTTACAGAACTAGCAGCAGATCATGTTTATTTTGACTGCTAAGTGAACACTGTTCATCATCATTCTTTACCAGCATGAACAATTCTCAGTGAGTACAGAGGTCTGAAAGCCAATTTTCAGATTAGTTTTTGTAACACCTGGCAAGAAGTGACCTGCCATGTGAAAAAGGAGATCTACCACCTTTCCAGTGACAGCTACTCTCTCTGTTAATTAGGCTTAAGTTTACTGCTACAGTTCAATATTCAAAAGCAAATTCAATAATATATTTACAGTCAGGGTGCTTTAGAATGCTGAGAACAAGCTTTTCAATCCTCTGATGACAAGCTTGTCAGCCACAGCTCATCAATCTTTGTTGTGTCAATTTTCCTCCCTTAACAACTTCTTGACTCACCCTTTCAGCCCCCTTGACACTGCACTTTCTCTGTTTAAATAAACAATGCTCCACTCTGACAGAGAAACGTTCATGTTTGTATCAAATAAAAAAGCCAGACATGAGGGAGAAAAGGCAAGCTGGCAATAAGAACCCAAAGAATACACATACTTTTTACAACAGTTGAACTCTGCAAACAGTTCCTGTTCAGATGAAAAGAGGCCTGCAGAATTACAGAGGGCATAGCCAGGCAGCCTGGGTCAAATGTGCAATTCTGTGTAACAGCTGGTTTGTCAGACAGTCTACCCCAATCACTGCGTGCATGCAGCACACACAGCATGTGCATGTGTGGGATCTAGTTATCAACAAGAGGAGCAATTGTGGCTTCCATGAGCATGAGCAGTTTTCCAGGAGTGCTGCAGATCACCTGCAGCAGGCTGCAAGTGCAAATTTAGCTCTCACCTCACGCATCAGAGCCAATTTCCTTTTCGCCAAGGAATCTGCATCCAGTTGCCTTTGCTTCTTCCATTTTCTGTTCAGTGCTTTCTCTTGGAGCTCCAGATGTGCCAACGCTTTGTTTTTTGATTTGTGTATTTCACGGCGGCGGAGCTACAGAAACATAAAAGAAATCATTTCAAAAATCAATCTTAAGCAAAATATGCAAAGCTAACAAGCTCTTCTTGATTTTATCTTTGATGCACTGAACATTATTTATGTTAACATCACAGTAGTGCCAATGACAACCTCATAAACATCCACAAGTGTAAAATGCCATCAGTATTGCCATGCAAATCCCATCCAAATTTAAAGCAGTACCAAAGATGAATGGGGAAAATCTGAATTTCTGTCTGCCCTACACCACTGACTTGGCAAGAGTTTTCTCAGCTGTAAAGGGAGGCAAAACTCAAACACTAACACCTGTAAGGTGCATAAAAAGACATAATGCATTTTCCTGATTTAACGTTGCCAGACATCAGACATAGTCTCCCTTCTTCTAACTATTAGATTACATTAAAAATATAGAGTTTAAATACAAATTAAAGAAATTAAATGTGTGAGGTGCTTGCTAAAGCCTCTAGAAGCTATCAAGGCAAACACTTGTAGAATCAAGTCTTTCTCTGCTACTATGACTATCCATCCTGACAAACCTGTCAAAACTTATAATCTCATACTGCCTCTTCCATCCTGGTAATTAGTGCTATCAAGAAAATGTAAATACACATCTAAATACATGTAAATACACATTACCTGTTTATTGCAAAGAATTCACATACATTGCAATCAACAGGTCATTCAATATAAAGAAATTGTGTTAAATTGTTCAAATGAAAATTGAGTATTTTGAGGATTAGAGAGGTTCCTCAGACAAAGCACATCTTTTAGTCCTTCCCAGCAGAAGTGAGACCTTCAACTAATCCACTGACCTTTCAAGTATTTATGTTTTTTATGCTTTTATGATGGCATGCAATTTATTGAAATAAAAACCACAGCTATTGCTTCCCAGTGGGAACAGGAAACTGAAGAACACCAATTGCTGGACGTGGGGATGCTCAGTATTATAAACAAAACAACTAGCACTAAGGAGACAACACGTTCAGAAGCTTGAAAAAGAGATTAAACATTGGCAGAAAACATCCCCGTAAGCACGGTAAGCACTTTTTATGTCAGACAACCAGCGAAACGGGTTGCCACAGGGACAGAGCAAGCAGTGACTGCTATTAAACTTACAATATCCTCAGGAGTTGCACGGTGCACTGTCAAATCATGGACGGTACTCTGCGAACAGGAACCAGGGAACACGTCAAGAACTGCAACTGAGGGCAAACTTTTTTGTGGTTGTTTTTTAAAAAGTTTTATTTAAAAAAAACCAAAACCACAAACAACTTTTAAACTGCAGTATAATTAGCCTAACACTATACTGCCGTGCACTTTCATGGCGCTACAAGAACGTTGCGCTCTCGGCGAGGCAGCCGCCAGGAACGAGACCTCCACCAAAGCTGATCGCGCTCTTTCCCCAGGACACGCAGGAGGCCTGGGCTCTGCCAGGGCCAGGGAAACCAGAGGGGCCGTGTGCCCCTGGCACACGCCGTGTCTGCCCGCCCGAACCCTCACGCAACCCGGGCGTTTCCACGGCGCAGCCCCTGCGGAGGGCGGTGGCTCCCCCAGCCGCGGGCACGGAGGCTCCCGGGCCTTTTTCCCAGCGGAAGGCGCCCGGCAGCGGGGAGCACTTACATCCCAGTCCCGCTTGGCCGCCGCCGCCTTTCTGGGGCCCTTCCTGCCGGCGGTGCGGGGCCGCGGCCCGCGGAGCAGCGACATCGCGGCCGCGGGAAGGGGCGGGAGCGAGGCCGCCCACGGCTCCGGCTTTGCTCGGCCCGCCCTGAGGGGAGGGGCGGAGCGCGGCCTCCTGCGCCCGCCTCCTTCTCCTCCTCTTCCTCCCCCTCCTCCCGGGCCGCGGTCCCGGCGTCGGAATGGCAAGGCGGCTCCTGTGCCCCTTGGGCTTTCTGTGAGGGAGCAGCCTCTGCCCTCACCCTCCCGCAGGGCTGCAGAGGACACCCCCCGCCGCCTCCCTTAAGTAGAGCAGTGCCCTGGCCGCTCCAGCCCACTCCACGGGACCTGCTCCTGGCGTTGTCACTCGTCTTCCATCTCGCCTCGCCCTAATTTTTCTACTCGTTCACTTCACTGTTATCACTTCTTGGCGCAAATACCCTCCAGAGATACCTCTCAGTGTCCCTCTGAGGAAGCCTTGGAAATTTCCCCGCGTGAAAATGTATTTCAGGTGCTGTTACAGGTGGTTCAGAGCAGAATGTCACACAAACCATGAAATTAAGGTGATACGAAATTAAAGAGTGGCCCTTGTTTAAATTTAACAAACAGATCTCGTTAGCTGTGCCACCGAGGAAGGGTGTACCTCGGTAGCCACAAGGAATTTCTGGTTTCCATAAAGCAGCTGGTGGTTCTGAAATGAGTCATTGCGTTTACAGATGGGTGCAATGTATTCCCTACAGATTTACCCCATTATATGCCACAGATCATCCACTTCCCTCCACACAGGTGAAGACATGATGTAATTACTCCAAAAGGCTACAGTTAACATTTTGTATTACAAAATTTTTATGTGAACATAATATTTTGTCTGTGGGAGGTGGAAAGTGAAGGCATAAGGTTTGTCAGCTTTTTATTCAAAACTTTTCCCACTTCACCAAGATTTCCTGGTGCTTAGGGTCCCCATCAATGCAATTCTGGCTTTACCAGCATCACTGTAAAAAGATTCATGTGGAGGTGCAGATGGTAGTGGTTAATGTATTGAGGGAAGGAATTGTATTGCATGTTGATACAAGGAGAAGATGGAAATCACAAGGGGAGTAAAAAGCATTTGAGAAATACTTTCAGCAATTGCATCTAATGAAGTGCTGCAAATGTGGAGGTTGCACCTCGAAACCTTCAGTTTGCATCTAGACACTCAACATAGGTACCATGTGCACCTGAAAGTGATCATCAGAGTTCAGCCTGTGGGAAGAGAAATCCATGCAAGGTAATTCATTAATCTGTGTTGGTCTGAAAACATGGAAGTCAAAAGAATAAATCAAGGGCACATCTGGACTTCTCTCTTAACATGGCTTTAAATTGTCTTGAAGAACAAGGGCTACTGAAGAAAAAAACAATAAAGGCGTAATTGCGTCATTACATTGTCTATTTTGAAACCTCTTTAACCTCTCTGCTATTATTAATTCCAATCAAATACAAATGTTAAATACATAATATAAGCAAATATGATACAAGCCAGAGACAATTCTCATTCAAGCAGCGTATTCTTAGACACTTTGCCCACATATAAGAAAGGTCGGAGCAGGTTCTATCAGACATCTTTAAAGCCCATCTACATTTCACTTCTCGTTATTCTTCACACTGCATTTTCAGCAGTCTGAAAATGTGGCATTATCTCTGCAGAAGCCAGCTGAGCATCTATAGCATCTATTAACTCACAGATGAACTTACATAAGACAGAGATTACATATGCAAACAGTAATTTTAAATCATCAGGTTTCCAAACAATTTGGTTTGTTATACATTTATGCCATTTCTCTTTCTAAGTTACTAAGATTTAGGGAATTCCTGTGTGATATCCTCTATCCTGAATATTTTTGCAGCCATGGTTACCAGGGGAAATGTAGTTTCTTTACTGCTTTGGAATTAATTTTTTTTTTTTTGTTTTTTGTTCCCAACAGCAATGAGATGTTTTGCTTTTGTGCTACAGAGAAAAAAAATCAACAAAAACCTCAAAACCACACTCTTGTGGGCCTCTCATCCAGCACAGTTCTCCTTCCCTTGAGACACTCACAACCCTGGGCTTTATTTATACTGGAAAAATGGGTCCTTTTACGAAATACATGCCCTCCTCACAGCCAGAGACAAGGGCCCCAAGATCATCATCCCCTTTTTTGGAGGTTTGGCACCCTGGGCTCATAGGCCGCCTAGAAACAGCACAGCTGAGGGCTGCTCCTCTTCCCTCCAGTGACTCTGGCATCACAGCTGTGGGGAGGCTCCAGAGAGGGCTCTCTTCCCCTCACAAGGCAGCTGCATTTCAGGTGGGGCTCTGGTCCTTGGCTCTGCTGGAGCTACAGCCGTGTGGCAGCCCTGTCTGTATCCCTTTGGCCCAGACATGCTGACCAGCTTCCTGGCCAGTCCTCAGGTCTGCCTCACTGCTGGGGACTTGCCTGCTGCTGATGGGACTGTGTCTGTCCCTGACTGCCATCACCAGACCTAAGTCACTAACTTACGTTGACCTCAGAGCTGTCCCATTGCTATTGACTTGTCTATAGCAATCTATAGCAATTGACTTTGTTGATTCCATATCCAGGCCTGTCCTGCTTGTCTTGCTCAGATCCTGTGGGATGGAGCCCTGGCTGGTGAGGTCCCTGCTCTGCCCCGCTCTCCCCACTCTGTGTTGTGGCATTCAGATCCCTGTCCCTTAGGGAGCATCTGACCCTTGCTGGCTCCTGATGCCAGAGTACTGTGGCATACACCAGAAAAGGTCACTTCCACTGACTCAGACCCATGGTGTATGTGGATAAGAGTGCTGTCTCTTAGAGGGATTGGCTCTTTCTTCCAAAGTACATGCTGTCCTTCAAGAACAAGATCCAGGTGTAATGAAAAGGGAAAATGGGCTACTCATCTTTATCAAAGGGTCTGAGTGAAGTGTTATGTCAGCCAACCTCAATTTGTAATCTGGAAAAGTAATAAAACAAGCTGTTCGGCAGTCAGTGTGCGAGCAACTAAGTAACAGTAAAGTGATGAGCAGCAGGCATTCTGCATTGTCCAGAACAAATCATGTCAAACTAACCTAATTTATTTCTTTGCTGAGATAGCTGACTTATTAAGTGCTGAAAGGAATAGGTGAAATATGTTTTGACTCCATAGGGCTTTTGACATTGTCTTGAACACCACTCTCATAAAGGCAAATTGGCCTCAGATGGTATTAACGTGAGAGGAGTGTGTGATTAAAAAGCAATTCCCAAACTGGTGCAGTGGATATTTTCCTGTCAGTGGGAAGGTATATCAAACGAAGAGATCTGATCTGTTTGCTAGGATTGTTTACTTTCATTAGCAACTGGAATGGTGGAGTTCACCTTTGACTTCAAACTTCTGCAAATAACACCAAGTCAAGCAACACCAAGTATCATACCTTGGAGGCAAAGATTTGAGCAAAGGTTTACCATTGCTAAATTACAGAAAGAGCCTCAAAATAGTGAGACGAAATTAAGATAAGAACAATGTATGACACTTAAAAAACTCGAATTCTCAAATTAAAAAGGAGGGAAAATGTGTAGTCTTTGGTAAGATACCGTAATGTACATCTAATCAAGGAAAGCACTTTAAGAATAACATAACTCTGCATTGGAAAATGAGGATTATATGAAGAGCCACTTTTTTGCCATGAAACCAACACAACTAGAGAGGGACAATGCACTGATATCCCAATCCGAAATATGCATAACACCAAATGACGCAAAAATTATTTGCAGCTGCCACAGCTACCTTGGTTTGCAGAGCACCATCTTTGTGCCATCGGTCACATTGCTCTGAGGAGCCAGGCATGGTCCTTGGCTGCCTTACCTCCTCCTGTTGCCTGAAGTCTCCTCTCTGGGAGAAGATGAGTTTCCTAGTGTCCTCCCTCCAGCACATGCCAGAGGGCTGCTGGCCCTGGCAGAGGGACCTGTGTATCTGCAGACAGCAGTGGTGAGGAAGGAGCTGTAGGGTTCAGGAGCATTGGACTCTACAGGGTAGGGAGGGAAAGCCACAAGTCTCCCAGTGCCACCACTGTTTGAAGTCCCCCGGAACAGGTCACACCATGTCATGTTAAGAGGCAAGGTGGAGTCTTAAAGTCTCCTTGTCTGCAGAGCATGATATTCCAGGCTGAAAGGCAAAATCTTTGTCTTGGGTTCTCCATCTTCCAGCAGACCGCAAATGGTTTATTTTACCCTAAATGATACTTCTTGGGACTGTGACAAAAGGCAGGGTGACTTGAACCCTGCTTCAAGATGAACAGAACTGACTGACAATTGTTTCCTTTTTTCTCTTGGCAGAAATCACACAAGGGCCCGGATATCAAAATGGCAGCACAAGGCATGCTGGCTCATTTTGCTGAGCTTTGTAACTTTTCCTCCAAAGACAACAAGTGACCCCCCCAGGAAATCTCTCAGCCTTGAAAACAAAATCCACAACATGTGTAAAGCTTCTGAGGCTAGAGTTGCTGCAGTTGGAGATTGCAGGCTGACTTTATAAAACTGTGGCTCCTGGAAGTTTATCCTCAGCCTGAAAATCCCTTCTGATTGCTTTATAAGTAACTCTCCATTTTCTCTGACTTTAAAGTGCATCCCTATACTATGGGATCTGACACATTTCCTAGGTGTGTTTTCAACAGAAGACCATAGGAGCATTAAGCTGTGTGTGAGAGAGATCCCTTGCCTTTTCACAGCCCAACAGTATCACTCTTATCTTGCTGAAAAGGTTAAGAGCATCACAGTATGGTTTGTACCCAGTTTCACGGATTATGCAAAGAAAAGATGCACCAAGCCATTTTCAGATTAATGAAATTACATTTGCTGCTGCCTTTCAGACCTTTAGGCTGAACTAAAGGACGAGAGCATTTATATCAAAGTTACGAGAAGCCAAAAATAAAGGTTAGGGAGCACCGCAAACAGGATTGCAGGTGCGACCTGCAGCTCCAGCAAGCCAGCAGAATATGGAGCGAGGACGCCCCTAACGCGATGGGCAGGGAGTGTTGAAGCCCTGCAGATGCTGATCCCCACGTGCCTGACGATGCCAGCGTGTCCCTGCGCTCACGGCACGGCTCCCCAA